CACTGAGGAGCAGGCTGGTAGGGAGTGGGTGGTAGGGCCGAGGGGCCCCTGGGGGTCTTCACCCATCTGCTTCCCTAGGATCCCAGCCAATGGCCCAGCCAGTAGGAGCACAGGAGAGGACCTAGGCTGGGGAACAGGCGCCTCTGGGGGTCTCAGGGGCTGGTGGGGCCAGGGTGCTGGACAGGAGGCCCAGTCGCAGCCGGGTCCTCAGGGGGCCGTGCTGGGCCCAGCCTCCCCCGCCTGGGCCCCAAGGCTTCGGGGCGGCAGCCCCTTGTGGCTGTAATACTCGACCACCTGGCGGGGCACCTCGGCCAGCACGCACTTGGCCAGCGCTGTGGGGGATGCCTGGGCGGGGAGCAAGCACCACCCTTAGGGCCTTGAGGTCCTCAACTCTCCCGGGCCAGGCCGAAAGTAGGTTCTCAGGACCACAGGAGCAACCACGGTGATGGTGGTCTCTGCTCAGGGGTCCCCACCCGCCCTCTGCTCTCTCCACACTGGCTGAGCCCCAAGGGTGCCCTGCAGCCTTCATGGGACATGGCTCACTGGGCCTCCAGGCCCTGTCCCTCTCCAGGACAGAGTCCAGACCCACTGGGGATGTGGAGGACAGAGGGCTGTGGCTAGATACTCACGTTCTTGAGCTCGCGGAAGGGCACGAACTGCACTATGTCTCGGAGCGCAGTCTCGCCGTGGGGGGCGCGCAGGATGCCATCGTCACCGTCCAGGACCTGCATGTCTGTGAAGTCTGCATTGCCCACACCCACAATGATGATGGACATCGGCAGGTGGGACGCCCGCACGATGGCCTCCCGAGTGTCTGCCATGTCGGTGACCACACCGTCCGTCAGGATCAGCAGGATGTAGTATTGCTGGGGACACACGAGCTGTGGGGGCCTGGTCCCTGGGGCCCCCACCAGCCACTCCCCAGGCCCACAGCAGCCCAGCTGTTGACTGAGCAGGGCTCAGACGCACCCCCAGCACAGCACTGGGTTTCAGGGTCCCTCACGGCCATTCTCCTGAGGCACCCTGGACACGTGGAATCCACCTTTCACCCCTGGGAACCCAGGCCCCCCGCCAGAGGATGACAGGGCCATGCTAGGAGGCAGCTTCTGCTGGTGCCCAGTCCCTGCTGTGAGAAGGCAGGGGGCACTGATTTCAGGTAAAAATCCATTTCCATTATCAGAAAAGCCCAGGGGCTGGGCGTAGTGGCCCATGTCCCTTATCCTAGCACTTGGGAGGCTGAGGCAGGAGGATCACCATGAGTTCCAGGTCAGCCTAAGCCACACAGCAAGACCTTGTCTCAAAAAAACAAAACAGACCACAAATAAAAAGGCCCAAATTACCCACAACCTTACTAAAAACTCGGACGACAAAAACCATAATAGAGAAGGAAGATCCACCCAGTTCTGGCCCTGGCAGCTGGACTGTGTGTGGGGCAGTGGCAGTATGAGCACAGGAAAGAAGAGACAAACGGGCCACACCACCTCTGCCTGCCAGCCCAGACCCTGGGCTCCACCCTGGTCTCGCTCCCTGCGCCCCACTGGCCACGTGAACCCTGGTGGGCACCTTCCCAAACATCTGGGACACTTGGCTTGTGGTCTCACAGCGATCCCTGACTCTGACTGCAGAAGGGGACCCGAGGAGATGGGGTGCAGGCGCCGACTGAGGTGCAGCAGGGCCCGATGTGTGTCCCAGGCTGGGCTGCGAGGTGAGGGCTGCTGAGGTCTGCTTCAGACACCCCCGGGACACAGCAGGAACACAGACTGCAGGTCCACACGCTGTGCGATGACAACAGGGGCTGAAGTACACTGTGGGTGTCGGGCGGGTACTTGGCAGCAGGGCCTCGTCCCATTCCCAAGGACAGGAAGAAAAAAATAAATACATAAATGTCCTGAGCCAAGTGTCTGTGCCATGCTTAGCTGACTGTCTGTCCCAGCTGTGTCCGGTTGTCCCCCAAGCCCCATGCAGTCACAGGTGGGACTTTGTGATGCTGGGATCAAGGGTGCAATGTTAGGGTTAAGGGAGAGAGTGCTGCCTGCCCTCAGGGTAGGGAGGCTGGGTAAGACAAAAGGGACAGAAAGGGGGCCAATGCTTGTCGCTTGCTGCCTTCTGCCTGCCCTACCATGCCACAGAAGGTTTCTCCTCTGCGATGCCCCTCTGCCACGCCACCTGCCTTGAGCCAGCTGGCTCTGGACTGAAAGCTCTACAAAGTGTGAGCCAAGTAACCCTCTCCCCCTTTAACTCTGGGTGCTGGGTATTTTATCAGTAACTGAGACAACACCCTTAATCTCAATCTGCATGTGAAGTTCAAGGGGACCACTCTCTTGAAGTGTTAAACTTGTGTGTGGTACTGTGCGCCAGGCACATAGCTCAGTGGCGCTGTGCCTGCCTGGCAAGTGCAAGGTCCTGAGTTTAATCCCTGGTACTGGGAAAAACAAAAAACAAAAAAAGTACTGTGCAATATTTAGCACAATACTTTTGCATAAATTCAAATATCCAAACAAATAAATACAAGGAGTGAGGAGACATTTCTGAAACTGGAGGTGTTTGCACAACAGGACGAATGTTCTCAATTAAGCACTAAGCTGTATCCCCAAAGCTTTCCGCTCTCTTATTTTCAGATGGGGTCTTGCGTGTTGACCAAACTAGCCTCAAACTTTCCATCTTCCTACCACAGCCTCCAGAGTAGCTGGGATTATCAGGTGTGTACCCCAATAGCTGGCTGCAATTGTATTTTTTTTTTCCTGTTCAGTGGGGGATTGAACCAGGGGCTTTTGCACTGAGCTGCACTCCAGCCTTTTTTTATTTTTTGAGACAGAGTCTTGCTAAGTTGGTAGTTGCCCAGATGGGGTCTGAACTTGTGATCCTCCTGCCTCAGCCTCCCAGAGTACTGGGGTTACAAGTGTGTGTCACCACACCTGGCTATAAATTTTAAACCATGTATATTTTAGCACACACAAAAAATAGTCAAGTCAAACATTAAAAAAAAATAGAAACAGAACAGTCACAAGACGCACAGAGAATTATAATACAAAAGTACAGGCTAGGGACACTGGTGGCCTCAGGAAAGACACCACAGGCCTCTGCACTGTCTTCATGACTTGGCCGTAGTCTGAAGCTACACTAAGATAGAAAGAATAAAAATGCTTTAACTCAGGAAACGCAGGTAGAAGGGCCAGCGGTGACCACACTGTCCTCACCACCCCTAGGAATTGTGGTTTGTTCGGAAGGAAAAGCTGGAAAAAAGTGGCCGGCAGCACAGGTGACATGAAAGACACACAGCAACAAACGACAACTATGCCAAGGAGATGTAGCGGCCGGGCCTCCTGTGGCCGGGGTCAGGGACAGATGACCAGGCGCAGGGCCCTTGAGATCCATTCAGATTGGACCAAATCGGACTGGACCAGACTGTGGGGCTGTCGGCAGAGTTCCTGCCTCCACGGCTGTGTCCCGCCTGCCCACCCTGGCCCGTGCTGACCCCAACCAGGCACCTACAGAGGCCTCCCCGGTGTGCTCCTCAGCCGCGGCCATGCGGGCCACCTTGGAGATGATGGGCGCCACATTGGTGGGCCCGTAGAGCTGGATTCGAGGCAGGCAGTTCTGGTAGGCCTCCACCACGCCCTGGATTCCTGCAGGGGGCAAGGGGTGAGCCAGGCCCTCCGCAACCCCCCAGGCCCGGCCCGGCTCCCACCTTCACACTCGTCGTCCTCGGGGTTGAAGTTGATGGCGAAGTCGTGGGACACCTGGGTGGGGACCAGAGGGACCCATGACTCCCACCCTGGAGAGGTCACCTCAGCCTCTGCGGCCTGGGGCAAGAGCTCCAGGAAGGGACGCCAAGGCGCAGGGAGGCTGCAGCGCGCAAGTCCAGCCTTCCTGAGGCTTCCAACCTGCACACTGTACTGGGATTCTCCTGCACCCCACGGGAACAGTTTGCCTCCAACCCCCAGTCCCAGGAGGTCAAGGATCACCCTCTACCCACCCTCCTTCCCATCAGGGAAGGGAACCAGGACCCTGAGGCCTGGCCCTGGGCTCTCCTACCTCATAGTTGGGAGGGATCCGGGCCCCAAACCCCAGGGCAGAAAACCTCTTGTCGCTGGAAGAGAGGTGGCACCGGTCACTCAGGAAACCCTGGCCTCCCCTTGGTGAGGGTGGGCAGATACTGGCCAGAGCCGGGAGACTGGGCCCAGGGATCATGGCCATGCCACACAGGAGAAGCTGAGGCACAGACCCAAGAAGACACTGGCCCTGTGCACAGCAGGAGGGGTGAAGCAGATGGATGGGCCTGTGCCCCGGGGTGGCCCCCGCAGCACCCTCATAGGATCCCAGGCTCCTGGGAGAGGTAGTGGGGCTGCGGTGACCCCTGGCGGGCACCCTGGGGAGCTTGACACCATCCTCAGCCCGCCAGCCTGTGAGCAGGCATCATCACGCCTGTATCCATGTCACACACCCAAAGCCCCCCTCAGACCAGCCTGCTCCCAGGCGGGCACCATCACCTGTCGTAGTCCTGGCAGACCTCACCCACTGCCACCAGCGCCCGCAGGTACTCGTTGGGCTGGTAGGGGTTGATGTGATGCAGGGAGCAGCTGTTCCGGGGGTCACCGTTGGAGGCCGTGAAGTCAATGGCCACCTGCAGGGGACCAGGGCTGCTGCCGCCCCACCCAGCACCCCTGCAGCGACCCCGGGAGGACACCTGCCCTGCGCTGGACCGTGCTGTGCCATCCCTGCCGGGCCCAGACACCCCATGCCACCCTGCAGCCAGGGGTCCCTTGCCCCTGACAGCAAGCTGTCACTGTCACTCTCCCTCAGGGCTGTGTTTCACCACCTCTGCCCCGACAGTGTCGCCTCTGGGGGCCCCCACTGTTCCCCACACTGCCGCACTAGGACGAGGACCCCATGAGGGATAAAGAGCAGCTTGGAACTTCGGGGCCCTGCTAGCTGTGCGGTGGGTTGGGGTGGCACTCACGGTGCAGTGGATCTGGCAGCCACCCATGATGTAATCCAGGAAGGAGTGAACCCTGTGGAGCTTCCAGGCAAGGGCGTGGGCAGGGCCGCGGCCAGGCCACCACCCAGCGTCACCTCTCCCCGCCTTCACGTCCTCTCTGCCCTCATTTTCTCACCCCTTCGAGGTCCCTCTGGTGGGGCCCTTGGGGGACCCGTGGTAGGGCCAGGCCTCACCTTCAGGTCTGACAGGACCACTATCCCCGAGTTCTTGTAGCTGCGCTTCTTCTGCTGGTACTTGGGGTTCACACAGTCCCATTGGGCCTGAGATGGGGCAGGCAGTGACGCCAGCCAGTGGCAGCGCCCAGCACCCTCCCCAGGGTCCCCAGAGGTCCCAGCCCTGCAGGAACCCAGCCCCCAGGGCCACCTGGCAGAGTGTAGGAGCCACCACTGTCTGACTACAGTCAGTGAGGGCTGGGCACCCAGGACCCTGCAGGCCTGGCCCAGGGCCAGGGCCAGGGAGGGTGGCCATCAGGGAGCCCCGATGACCAGTGACAGTGATGTGGGTCTGGCACGGTACCATAGTGTCCCCGCACCATTGTCACCATGTCTCCTCTCGTGTAACTGTGCCCAGACCGGGGGGACACAGTGCCTGGCTCACCTGACCCCGAGTGAAGGCCGCCTGCATCTCCGCGAAGGTGGTGGAGAAGGCGCCGATGAAGTCATGCTTCCCACGGGCATCATGGTCCCAGACCACCCTGGGGGGTCATCAGGGAGCCCCGATGACCAGTGACAGTGATGTGGGTCTGGCACGGTACCATAGTGTCCCCGCACCATTGTCACCATGTCTCCTCTCGTGTAACTGTGCCCAGACCGGGGGGACACAGTGCCTGGCTCACCTGACCCCGAGTGAAGGCCGCCTGCATCTCCGCGAAGGTGGTGGAGAAGGCGCCGATGAAGTCATGCTTCCCACGGGCATCATGGTCCCAGACCAGGCCCTGGGGGGGGGGGGCTCAGCTGCAGCTGAGCTGCAGGGTCTCTCCCTGCCCAGGACCCCACTGAGGCCCTGCTGTCCCACCTTCAGAGGCCGGGTCTCCTCACAGCTGCACAGGGAGCTCAGGGACAGCTTGAAGGGCTCCCAGACTGGGCTGAGGTTGTTCTTCACCACCTGGTGCCAGGAGAGGCGTCAGGGGCCCCAGTCCTAGGGACCAGGAGGCTGTGCCCCGCCTCGTGCTCAGGCAGGATAGGGCTGGGAACTGATCTTGAATGCCACGCCTATAGGAACCACCTCCTAACTTCTACTGAATTCCCAGTCCACCTGGACCCCTTTCCTCTTTAAATAGACTTTTTACTTAAATGAATTCTTCTCAAAAGGAAACTCGGTCTCCCCGCTGTAACTGAAATCCACCATCCCTGCAGGAAGTAGAAGGTAGCCCTAAAAATATCCATAGCGACACCACCATCGCCCTGAAGGATCCCAGCTGCAGCTGAGAGCCCAGGCCCCACCTGACCCTGCCTTCCCAGCCAGGCCGGCCTGGGTCCCTGTCTGTGTTCCCCCTGAAGCTCCATGGTAGATGGGTCAGGTCACCTCTGTGCGGTACACCAGCTGCTCACTGCCATCCTCGTTGGCCCGGAACAGCTCCAGGAAGGGGTCAGACTTGCTGAAGAGGTCCTGGGGGCAGAGAGGCCTCGATCCCTCCCCGCCCCACCACTGGCTGGGGATGCTCTGGCCAGTGCCTCTGCCTGCTGCTGTGTCTGGCCCATTGTCCCTGATATCCCTGGACACTCTGGCCCTGATGTTGGCCTCAACATCTCCAGGGGAGGCTGGAGACCCCCCACCCACCGTGAGGTGCCCAGCCCAGTCCAGGTCAGGTTCCTCAGTGGTTCCCACAGGGACCTGGGCTCCTGTGGCTGTCTCTCCATCATCAGACAGCTTGAGTTCCTGCCAGCAGCAATGTGGCTGGCTCATAATGGTGCAGGGATGACAGTGGTGACAGCGGGGCCTACACCCCGCTCAGCAGCATGGCCAGCAGCCACTAGGCTCCCCAGGCTCCCATACACTGGATCCCTCAGGTCCCCACCCAGTGTGCTGCAGGCTGCAGGCAGGAACCCAGGTGGGAGGGACTATAGTCCCTCACCCCCGACTCAGATGGCCTCACCTTGTCATCCAGGTTCCTGGCCTGGAAGGAAAGCTCCACGTAGCCATTGTTCCCAGAGATGTCCTCGGCAATCACCTGGTGGAGAGGCCCCTGCTAGGGTCTGGTTGGCCTGGCTGCACTCCCCACTTCCTGCCCGCCAGTGCCAGGGCCCTGGGAGAAGCACAGGAGGCGGCCACTCACCGTGATGGTGGACTTGCCGGCCTTCCTGCCCAGCTTCAGCAGCAGTGGGCGAGTCATCTTCTTCTGAGCTACAATCTGGAAGACACAGGCACAGACAGGGGTGGAGCAGGGGACTCCCAGGCCTGGGGACCACGGCCCCGCCCTTGGCACCCACACTACACCCTGCCTGCTCCCAGGCCCAGGCACCCTGAGAGTCCCCATCAGTAGGGAGGGACGAGTCCTGTGCCACCTACCAGGCAGGCAGTGCTGGCACGCACCGTGTACACACACAGGCCATGTGTCAGTGCGTTCAGCCCGATTCCCCCTGTGGCCTGGCCGAGGACTTGAACGGGCAGCCGGCCCTTAACCCCCACTGTCCCCCATGAGTGTGAAACAGACGGATGAGAGCTGCTCCCTCCTCCAGGCACCCAGGAGAGCCAGAGGGCTATGTGAACATGCTGCTGGTGAAGAGGAAGCCCATGGAGGTGCGTATCCACACGTGCATCCTCATGCAAGTGTTCCTGCGTGTGTCTGCACGTGTGAGTGTGTCCTGCCTGACTGGTGTGCGGTTGCAGGTAACACTCTCTTGGGGCTGCAACCACCCTCGTCGCAGCCCCTTTGTGACATGGGGACAGCATCGGGCCGGCAGCGATGGAGATGAGTCACACGCAGCAGAGGGCTGCGGGGCTGCAGGCGCTGCTGAGGACGCACGGTGTGATTCACAGACCTGAGACTCAGGACACAGAATGAGGGGACAGGCATGCGGGAGCCGGACGTGTCAGGCGTGCCCGGCCATCCACATTCAGGGAGCCTGGGCCTGTGGTCTACACTGTGTGAAAAATTCCTCCATGAAGAGGGAAGGTTTCCGGGGGCTACCGGGTATGGGGGTCGGTGGGGGCAGAGGCGCGGCCCTCAGACAGCCACCCCATGCCCAGCCTCTGTGGCTGGGCGGAGAACTGGGCTGGGTTCTGCTGGTGCGTGTGTGTTTTGCACTGCATGGGCCCCCCGGCTCTGTCCTGCACACAGCGCTGATCTAGGAGGGAGCTGTAGGAGTGAAGGGAAAACTGCAGGACCGTGCACACTCCGTGAAGCCGGACCACTGACTGTGCTCCTTCAGGGGCTTCGCACGGAGCTGCAGCACCAGCCCTTCTTTGAAATTTTATTTTGAGAAAGGGTCTCACTAAATTGCCCAGGCTGGGCTTGAATTTACAAAGCTCCTGCCTCAGCCTCCTGAATGGCTGGACTTACAGAGGTCATGCAGATATCATGCCTGGCTGTTTCTTTCTTTTTTCGGTACCAGGGATCGAACTCAGGACCTTATGTTTTCGAGGCAGGCGGTGGAACCACTGAGCAAAATCCCCAGCATATATTTACTTGTGTGAAAATCTCTGAAAAAATTCACCAGGACCAGCAATAGGCTGCATGGGGTGGAAGAATTTGTCCCCCATCCCCTGAATTTGGAAACATATGAATGCATCACCTAGTTCCCAAGTATATGTATTTAAAACACTAATAAGGAAAGCCAGGCACAGTGGCTCATTCCTGTAATTCCTGCTACTGGAGAGGTAGAGGCAGGAGAATCTTGAGTTCAGGGCCAGCTTGGACTTAAACACCCCAAGCAACCGACCAACAAACAGAAGCAGCAGTCAGGACTTTCATGGGGGTGCTGTGGAGCTGGGCAGAGCCAGACCCTCATCCTCAGGGCCCCCACAGTGCCCACCTGCCCCAAAGTGCATTCCATTCCCCCCAGGAAGTCGTCCTCGTCACAGCCCAGGCTGCTGGGCCCATGGGTGTCGTACACCTCGAAGCGCAGCCGCCGCACCTCCTCAAAGTAGTAGTCGACCGTGAAGACCTTGGAGAACACAGGGTTCAGGCTGCTCCGCACCACCTCGGTTCTGTCCACCTGCAGGCCACACCTGTGAGCCACAGGGAGGGGACCCCCGGCCCTCAGCCTCCCTTGGGGGTCACCCTGTGACCTCAGCACCCCCAAACAGAGGCACATGGTGCTGGCTATGACGGCAGCAGCTCAGCACCTCTCACACCCCGGGCACTTGCTTGGCTTGGTTATACACAGGCAAACTGAGGTAGTGTGGAATCCAGTCTCTGTCCAGGGCTGGGCCGTCCTGAAGGAGGCCATTCCCCACTTCCCAGCTGGGCAAGATGGGGCTGTGGTGCAGGTGCTCCCCCTTGTGGCCCCCGCTCTTCCTCTTCCCAGGATTGGCACCTGGCCCCAGCCTCCTACTAGGGCCCCCAGAGCCCCACAGACACCTGCACTCCAATCCTAGGTTCTGCAGGGGATCTAGGGGCACCTGCCCCTGGGGACGCTGGGGTCAGGGCCCCTGCCTGGAGATTGGTAACGGACAGATGCTCAGCCTGCTGGGTGCCCAGAGGTTCGCAGGAGCAGGCACCCCCTGTAGGGAATCCTGCCTGTCCCTCCTCTCAGTCAGGGTTCTGCCACAGCTCCCAGGTGCCCTGTCTGTCCCACAGTGGGCACTCCCTGTGTCCCCTGCCCCACAGCTGCAGGGAGAGGGCCCAGCCTGGTGAAGCACCGGTCCTGTGACCGAGTTCCCCCAGCTGCAGTCCCATGGAGGGGCTTCGAGTGTCTCTCTCACCAGCCCACTGTCTCTGGCTTTGGATGGCCTGAGTGCTGGACACTCTCTGGAGCCCCCAGGTGGGCACACCTTGCTCTGGCAGACACCATCCAGACAGGTCCCTGGACTCCTACTGCCTTGGGCAGCTCGGGACCACAGGGAGGCGCAGGGATAGCTGGGTTACCAGAACAGGTCCCCACCTGTGCCCGAACCAACCGCGAGCTCTGGTCCCCTGGCCCCCAGGTCCGCCGAGTGTCCCGGGACCCCAGCCCACCCCAACACCCAACATCCAGCCCCATCCCCGTCCACGCCCTGTTCCTGCCCTGGTCCCTTAGCCCGCCCCAGCCCTGTCTCCATGCCTTTCCCTGTCGTCCAGTCCCTGTGCCCCTGCCCACCTGCGCCCACCGGCCCTGAGCCGGCTGCAGAAGCACCACGCTGGGATCCGACTTGGTCAGCGGGTCGCGGTCCAGCAGGTGCCGGCAGCTGAGCCGCAGCTC